TTTAACGACGGGAATTTCGCGCTCGCGCGCAAGAGAGCCGCGGAAACGCCTGCATAACTAGATACTCCTCTCACTCAAAGTGCTGTCTCGTCGAGAGCCATAACCGTAACTATTCCGTAGTCCCGTAGAACAATAGTCGTACCGCAATAATAACAACAGTGCGGCTACACGCTAACTTGCACGTTCTCGCGATGCGAGAATAAGACGGGCAAAAAGAGCCCCCGACATTTCAAAATCTTTGTCTCGAACGAGAACCGCGGAAAATTTCCCGCGTGAAAGAAAGGGACCAACTTTTTATCTCGAGTTGTATTATATAACGGAGAAGCATATAAGAACGTTTCTCCGTGCTTTAAAAATATTTTCCCTAGCTTTTCTCCATTTGCCAATTTTCCAGCTTTTATATACGAGCGCATTTGTCAGTAAAAAAAAAAAAAAAAAAATACGTACGTGTTTCAAGTATCGCTGTATATGTATCGTGAAATGATGGAACGCGGAAATATTGGATTTCGGTATGTCGAGAAAACAGTACGAGCGCGTTTCATCATTATTTCGATGCAAATGACGTGTAGGTCCCCAAGTGATGATTCCACCTACGACCAGCTCATAGTTACTAGACGAATGTTTCGTCGATAGATATCGATAAAAATCAATACGCCAGAATATGATGATATACACGATCGAGTTGGTATCTCTCGAGGTGTTTTAAATTAGTTATCGAAACTCTCGACAGCGCCGACGCTTTTTCGTTACAATTTTCGCCTGGTGCAAAATAGAACAGAATAAAACACGGAAATGTTACGAGAGCCCCCGGAAGAAATATGAAGCTTCCGAGATACGACGTAGTCTCGTAAACGCTTTTATCCCGCGCGCGATATTCGCAGTGAATTCTTCTTCATCTTCTGCTTCTTCAGAAGGGCGTATCTCGAAGAGAAAAAAAAAAAAAAAAGAAAAAGGGATGATCAGCGTGAAAGAGGCGCATAGTTTAAAAGAGCGGCCAGTCGGCCAGCTTCCCGATATTATCGCCGTTCACTGCACGCGGGAATTACGTTTTAATACTCGGTCGTCGTTTATTAAAAGATTGCTCCTTTGTTGGGCCGCGTCGTGAAACTCGAAGAGCGAACGAGATACGAGAGAGAAAGAACTTGTCTCCTCGAGATACACCTCTGTCTGTGGATGCTCGCGCGGGCACAAATTAATTTTCTTGACAAGAAGAAGAGGAAGGCGAGAAATGGGATTTAATGTGACACCGGTCTTAAGCGAGAATCGGATGCTCAAAGACACTTTACGAGAGACGCGACGACGCATTCGTTTCCTTTCAAAATCAAAATCTTATAAATGAATCGTATACAATTTGTGAAGAATGTCATTTTATTATTTAATATGTTTCTCGAGTATTTTAAGAGCGAAAAAATATAGAACATTTTAAATATATTTTATAGTTATACAAATGTTACGCGGAGATAATTTTCTCTTTAAACTTACCCGGAAAATCGTGGTAAAAAATTTCGTAAGTTTCTCTAATTAATATTTACGACAATAAAAAAATATTCGATTAATTTTACTATGTATATATTAGTATTTTTATTATCGTGGTAAATATTTAATGGGAGAAACTCTTATAAAATTTTTTATACATTCCATTATAAAATTTCAATTTTCTTAGGATATTCGAATTTTGATCTATTTTGACAATCTTTTTTCCTAATGTGTATTTTATAACAATTTGCCACACTTTTTTGATAAAATTAGGAGACAACGTTGCAATTAAAATGCGACGTCGACGTCAAAGATGAAAGAAGAGACTAAGAATAATATTTGAAGCAAAAAATAATTTTCCAGAGAAATATTGATCCATAATATGTTGCGGTAATTAATACATTAATCACGAGCCCGATATACGTTTATGTTTTTAATGATTAACGCGAACATACATTCGATACTCACGGTTTCTGCTTATTCGCGACCAATCGACAATAACATGCCGGACTTGGATGTTTAGACGTGTTTATAACACGTAGGAGGCGGGGCTCGTAATCGCGAATATTTGCGTCGATGCAGCGCTCGTTCTGTAATGCACTCGAAAATTGCATACATATCGTATATCCAACGCGTGGCGAATGCGGCGGTCGCGCTTTCCCGAAACTCGGCAATTTAACGTTCCAAGCGCGTCGCGCCATACATATTCAGCAGCCTAATAATTAGGAGTTAATACACCTGAGCGGCATTATTTCAATTTAATGCAGCCGTTACAAAATCGCGCCCGCGCGAAATCACTGCGAAGGGAAAGAGAGGGAGAGAGAAACTCGGAACGTTTACCTTTTGCCGCATTGGACGTTGCATAATTTGCGCTTTATGCGTTCACCACCTTTGCTCTTCATAATTCGATAATTCCATTTATAAATGACGCGAATCATTAGTATAATTTGCAATTATTTAATCGTAGATTGTAAATCTGAGCTCGAGATTCCCCTCACGATTTTATATACAGCGATATGAGATGCACTCGATTTTATTTGTACATAATATTCATTAAAACGGATCAAATATTTTTTTAAAAATAAAAAATTCTACTTTGAAAAAGAATGGAAAGACGAGCAAAGAACATATTTCAATTTCTATATGGAAAATATATTTTACGAAAAAAAAAAAAAATAATAAAAATAAAAAATAATACTTTTAGAAAGATAATGCTCAATTCTCTAAACGCTAAGAGAAAGAGGCAGACAATATTTTCTACGAAAAATAAATCCCATCGGGCGCGGGCTACGAATCTCTTAATACAGAGATAAAAAGAAATATGCGCATTACGCGGAGGTGGAATTACTATTTACGACGAGAACCAGAGCGCGTCGCGCGCGAAACGCGGATATTTTCACGGGCGAAAAAAGGGCCACCCTCTCGCGTACAATGGAAATTCGGTTTTCACGCCGGCAATGAATAACATGGCCGGTGTTGAAAAAAAAAAAAAAAAAAAAAAACCAAGCTGCCGGATTCACGACAATTATTTCTATTCGCGAAACGCGAACAGAGAGAGAGAGAGAGAGAGAGAGAGAGAGAGAGAGAGAGCGAGTGCGGGTCGCTCGTTCTCGAGGACCCTCGTGTCACTTGTACACACATTTGTATGTGGAAACCGCGCGACGACACGGTCACAACACGCTGTACGTTTTGTTGTTGCATCCCTCTTCTAGCATCCCTCACCCTGCCGCTACCCTTACGGCGGTTAATGATCTCGTAGGGCGTTCGTGGAAATTTCATGTCACATACGGAACGAGGATCGTTTCGCGAGAGGCGAGAAAATATTTGTTTACTGGAAAACGAGAGGAGGAAACGACGATTAAAACGTATTTTTGGGACACCTGGAGTGGACGCTGTTATCGTTCCGTAAAATCCTACAAAGTGCTCCGGCGCGACATTTATATCGTACACTTACATCTGACACGTTTCGGATGCATTTTATTTGCTTTTCACAAGAGCAAGAATTTTCCACTTTGAATTTTATAATTCAAACCGTTACGTTTGTAATATTTTCTCGAAAAAATTATAAAAAGCTACTCTTTCCATAACTTACTTTTCTCAAGAAAGAATAAGTATCCCAAGATTTAAACAATAGAAATGCCATTTATATCTTCCACTAAATCATTTTCCCAGATAGATGAAATAATTAATAATTCATTTAATAACTTATGAAGCAACTTGAGAAAATTGAATGAATCTAAAGAATTGTTTGATTTGCTAATAATTGTACATTTACATATAAAAGTAATTCCACCCGAGCTTCTCGTTTCTCGGCTCGCGCTCCGGCAGGCTTTCCTCATATTGAATTTCCAAGAGATTCCCTTGCGCAAAAACGTGCTCCATATTGCGTCGTGTCGCGATATACCTGACCCGACTATATTCAAGAAACGCCGGCAGACATTAGGAATAATCCTGCAGACCGCGGCTGCGGATATAATACGCGACATACATACGATAATAGTTATTACTCCTTCAACCCTTTATGTAACGAGCAGAGGGAAAGAGAATGTAGGCCGATGGGAGAGAAAACCTTCGCGGAAAAGAGGCAAGGTAATCAACAGCGAGTGAAATTTGCACGGGAGGACTCTTAAAAATCCCTCGAAGTAACCGAGAGGAGAAGGAGACCGTAATCAGGCGACTCCGAAAGGACGACGTGGCGCGAAGAGCAATTTTACGTCGAGAGATCCGGTTGCACCCACCGTCTTATTACTCTGCCGCCTTTTCCTCTACCTTCTCCACGTGGTAAGACGAGAGAAATCCTTTCCATCCACTCGAATCTTCTTCCTTTCGCGGCGCATCGACGGGGATATCCTTATTGCTTCCTACCGACCCGACGCTTGGCTAGCAAACGTGAGGGATATCTCACCCATAGCCTGCCTATCTAACCTACGGTAACCGGAATTCTCCCGACGTTCTTTTGGTTGTCGATAGAATGTTTTCGAGCTTGAGCTTTATGTCGTTCGAGGGAAGAGGATGTGTTCCTTCCGCTCTCGTCATATCCGCTCGAGATTCGATCGAGAGTTTCACCAATTCTTCAGCATTCGGAACTTCGCGTAACGTTACGTTTCAGTTTTATTAGGTCTTATTTTTCAAATGGTTGTCTGACGCTATTTTTGATTATTGCGCTTGTTTTCTTTTATTTCAGACGCTTTTTATTGTATTTTGATCAATTTAATCAAGTATAGCAGTTTCGTTATTTTTTTTTTATTATACCCAAGGAAAGGATAAAGATCGCAAAATGAGAAACACTGAGATAAATTGGTACGCAAATACAATGCTCTGTTATATTATTCAATTTTCAAGTCGGTCACATATCGGCTTCGTTTTCCGTTCACGTTTTTCATGTTAATTTTGGAGCGTTTGAGAAGCATGTGTTTAATTTAATTTTTTTTTTTTTACGTTTGTCAAGTTTTCCAAATCGAATAAAATATTTAAATTTTCGTCTTTCGAGAGTGGATATTTTGTTCTCCGCATGTTTTACTTACCTTCAATGAGTTGGTCCAGCATGGCATAAATGTGGGATGTCGCTTCGTCGGTCATGACCCAGCCACCGGTGGTCATCTCCAGTCGACCGTCCTTGACCAACCTCTTCACGACCATCTTCTTCGTTGGATGGGCACTAGAAAGCGAAAATCATATCTAATCTAATTCAGAGATAACGGATGCGAGTTTCGATCAAATAAAATTGAATCTCTTTTCTTCCGCACAAAAAACAAGGATCCAATTTTTAATCCTTTCTCCATTTAATAGGTTCATAGCAACAAATAGAAATTTCAATAAATTCCATTCCATATAATAATTAGATTTATAATTTTGTTAAAGTTAATCTTGAAATTCCATACATTTTTAGAGACCCAGATAATTTTCTTCCAGCAAATCCTATATGAATATCCAAGCAGAATGAACCTTTCTTCGTTCAATTCCCAATAAATGAAAAATAAATGCAACAAATAGAATTTGCTGATAAAAACAAATATAATTGACATTTATGGATGAATCTGTTTTCTCGACATCTCGCTCGCATAAATAATCGCGCTCGATTATAAATGATCGATCTCGCTCGATCGGGATCAAGGCAGTCGAATTTAATCATTCTCGCGTGACTTGTCCCGTCGCATCTTGTTTTATAACACCCATCACGCAATTCGGGTCGCAAATCATATTTATCGCCGTCGCCGCTGTCCCATTTCAGCCTCGACTAGGATTTACGTGATTTGTGCGTCCGAGAGAGTGTTATGTACGACCTATATAACCTACCCTATTCGAAGGTGGTTTCCACATTACGTCGTTTATGTCGGCCATAAAGCCGCCACGGATTCCACCTGCCATACGTTTCTCTCTCTCTCTCTCTCTTCTTCTTCCTCATACATACACAGACACACACATCTGTTTTCCCCGGTGGCTAGTAGGTTGGTTTAAGGTCGCTAAGGCTAAGGTGGTTACGCCCAGGCCAAACTGGGGCGTTTTGGAGATGAGCTTTCCTCGATGCAGGTCTGTTTAAACTGCACCACTACCGATATAATAAATTTTTTGTACACGTCGAAACCCGCGACGCGCATACCGTTACGCTTTCTTGGCGTTTTACGTTTTCTGGGCTTATAGGGGCACGTCGCTATAAATGGTGATTGGTTACGTAGGAAATTTCGATCGACGAGTAACGTCGAAATAAAACGTGGAATGTGAAAATCAAAAATTATCAACCTACTAAATATAAAGTCTCGTAAAATAAAATATAAAGTGGTTCGTTCACATTCTGCGCTTTTTATTTCGATGTACTCGTCCAAATCCTTTATATACCAAATAAAAATAAAATAAAATATGAAGTAAAATATATCATATATTATATTTTATATTTCATTTTTATTACATACCTCTATATGAACAATATTTTCAGTTGCCTTTGATCGGTTATATACATTATCGATTATGTAATTATCACTTTTTCTTTACGAGAATTCCTCTTTTTTTAAATTCGTATCGCACTCGGCGATTTGCAAGTACTTTTCTTTCTTCCCGTTTCTCTTTTCACTGATCCGATAAAACCGTATAGATTCGCAGGATGACTAAATCCTCGAGTAAAAATTACTTTTCTGTAAACCTTCGGATCCTATTCTGTTCTTAGGAGGAGGAAGTAATGAAAGCGAGCTCTCCTCTGCGCGAAACTCATCTGGGAAACTTATCATTTTATCCGCACCCTCGTTCTCTCTCTCTCTCTCTCTCTCTCTTTCTCTCAGAATCCATTCCGAATCTTTTATGCTCGCGACACTTTTCCATCTTCTTCATCCACGGCTTTTCCGCGACTCGTTAAAAAGAGAAGGACTTCTCGTTGTTCTCGGGTTTCCGTTTCCCGCCAAGTGCTTCGAGAATCACTACCCTCGATACTGTCCGCTCTTTCCCACTCAATGGCCCATTTTACGACGATCCATTTCGAGAGAGAAAGAGAGAGAGGGAGAGAGATGTTTGTGCAACGAGCTCGCAATTTACTTAACATACAAAACTGACGTTTGTCTTTAATTACGAATGCGAAAACTGACGTCTGTCTTTGCGGAAGTGAAACATCATCCACGAGCAGATTATCGATTGCTTTCCAGTCGCGAATGAAAATTTATAACGATGTATATGTTATCAGACAACAGAAAAATGTTTGCTTTGAATCATATTTTATAACTCGCTATTCGAGAATCGTAGTTTTGTTTATATAAAAATTGACCAGAGTTTATCTTTCATAAAAATTAAATTATTAGGAAGACGATTTTACTCGCGAGTTCGAATTCCGAAAATAATTTTCCGCTGCTTTGAAATAGCAACTTTATTCAATTTCTATTTATTTATCATTATTATATAACGTTCTTCGTTATTTCACAATTTATTTATTAGCTGTTTCATTTCGACATTTTTATTTCAATTATAAAGTGTAAAATCTTATTTATTTATCTGATTAATAATTTATTTTATTACGACTTTAAAAATATATCTGGCGCATTTTTGATGTTCGAAGCTCTCTCTATTTCGCACGCAAAATATTTCGCGCATATGCGCATACACTCACCTGTCCCACCATAGTGACAAGAACGAGACTTCGCTCCAAATAAAGGTCATATTCGGCCACTGCTGCAGCTTCGAGACCATGTTGTTTAGGATGCTCCGTGTGGAGCTGTGGAAGTACTGCTCGAATGTCTTCAGCCATCCCGGATCGGTGTGGCTGTGAGGCACAAGGATAACCTGAAACAGAGAAACGCAAGCATCGTTTTATCAGAAACGTGCCAGAAATAGCAAATATGCTATTGAGCATGGAAGTTAATGCCTCGCCTGCTTCGTTCAAGTTTCACTCAACTTGGCGAAAGAATCATTTTAATCCAACTATCGATAGAAATCACACGGCGCTATTTTATTTTCTTAAATAACAAGAATTTATGATATAGATATTATCAACATTATTTTTTTATGTACAAAAAATATAATACGTTTTTTTGTTTAAATTACTTGATACAAAAATTAATCGAAAACGACATAAAACATTGTTTCGAGGTAGAAAATCGTTAGCCATGAACTTGATAGTTTCTATGAATTAATTCGCCATTCTAAACCGTTCATTTATCAATGGTATTAGAGCGAGATTATTAATCGAATCGATGCGAGCAGACACGTTCTATATATCGGCGGTCTAATTCTCGCACTCGTTTTATCGAATCCGCTCTCAATTTTCGACGCTAACGGACTGATAGATTCATGAAGATTCGTTAATTAGCACGCGCTACATCCACGTCGGCTTAACGACATTATAACGACGATATTAATTGACACAGAGACGTTGCTCTAGTTCGACGAGTTAACTATACGGCCGATTCGCGCGATTTATTAGTTTATCTTTGGTGAACTCGACTACCTTTCCCTTTCTCTCTCTCTCTCTCTCGTTGAAAAAGTTTTTCAATCTGTCTCGAGTGTCGATATTTGTGAAGTGGAGTGCGAACGAGACATTTTTTTTTATTTGCAGATACCATGCGGGCGTTCGTCGCTGCGTGATTTTATTGATGCTCGCTTTGTTGCTAATATTTCGAGCGGGAATGAGATTAAAGGGCTTTTGGATTTTTTTAAATCGCGCAAGTATTATTATATTATAGACACGCTGTCATGATCATAAACGGTCGCGAATTAATAATAATTACAGCAAACGTAATTTCATAATATTAACATTTCAAATTTTTTAAATTTACATAAAAATCTTTGTTTTTAATTATTGCGTAACAATTCCAAATTTCTGGACCATCTGTTCTATGTGTTTATTATATATACAGAAAATACTTTGATAAAATTAATTGATCGCACAGGGCCCTAGGATAGCTCGCTCGTAATAGTTGTCCCCATAATCACATGGCACGACAATGTCAATATCGTGTAATTGATATATACAACATATACCGGTTATGGCGAGTTAATAATTCAAACGACGTGAGACGCAACATCGCGCTCGACACAACGCGCGAAATTTATTACGCGTTGTCGCCGCTGAATTTATGCAATTTGGAACGTGTCAGCGGACGATAATGAATCTCCCGAACCCGAGTTTACATCTCCTTTAACGCACGAGGCCGATACTTTCAGCGACTGTGGAATCTTTCGCGTACAACGAAACGTACGTTTATATTTTTCGACTTTTTGTTAAGGCATCTCTAATTCTTAAAAAAAAAAAATCTAATAAAATATGTGGATATATTTTCGAATTATCGTTTACTCGTTCATCGAGCCCGCCCTCAATTTTCGACGCTAATAGTCCGATAGATTCATGAATGTCAAATTCGGGACGTCAGTTTGACGATATTATAACGACGATATAATTGATACAGAACCGTGTCTCGTCGTTATTCTAATTAGACGAATTAACTATGGTCCATTCGCGAGCGATTTATTAGTTTACCTTTGGTGAATCTGAATGTCTCTCTCTCCCTCTCTCGCGGCCTTGTTCAAAAAGTATTTCAATCTGTTTCGAGTGTCGATATTTGTGAAGTGGAGTGCGAACGAGACTTTTTTTCTGTTTGCAATTGCGCGATTTTATTGCTGCTCGCTTTGTTGCTAATATTTAGCAATGGGAACGCGATTAAAACGCAACTGCAATGGATTTTTAAATCGCGCGAAGCAAAAGTTATTACATTATAATACATATATGTACAAATAATTGCGTGTGGTACAAAAATGTTTAACGATTTTGAAGCTGAAAAAGTGTAAAATTTTCATTCGTCGGTTCCACTTAAAAATTACGAGTCCCCTCCAGAGGGTAAATGAACTTTGGTTTTTCGTTCTCCGTGAGCGGAACGGAAAGTGGGTACCTTGGGAAAGCCGATCGAATATTCGATTTGCGAGCTACACGAGGTGGCGTAAATCTTTTAAACGAGAATCAACTCACAGCGGTAACTGTCATTAGTCGTCGTCCCGCTGCCGACTGTTTCTCTCCGAGTCCGAGCTCCGCATTTTCACCGAGATTTCGACCGCCGCTGATCAAATTCACGTCGGCCTTAATTTCATTTCGCGCTCACTACGCGGACAAATTGGAGCGTTCTTTCGCGCGGAACGCGCTCCCGAATTCGCGAAAGCTCTGCCCTTCTCCCTCTCTCCCTCTTGTTAATCAAAATTCGTTTCGTCGAGTGCATCTCCCCTGCAACGACAGACAACGTTATTTTCCCGCGTATTGTTTATCGCGAATTATTTTTTATTTCCGCTGTTTGTTCTCTCAAAAGAACGGATATTTTTTTTTATTTTTTTAGAGAGAAAGAGAGAGAGAAGAAAATTCTCTGTGTCATTTTTCAATAATTTTAATAACATGATTTATACTAATTTTTATACGCATTTAATTTCACGTAATTTAATTTTTATCCCTTATTCAATACGCGTCTCTGTGAAAGTGCTCAATAAATAACTTTAGAGAGAGTTCTCTACGTCATTGTTCAATATTTTGATAATATGATTTATACTAATTTTTATACGCGTTCAACTTTTTTTTATCCCTTATTCGATACGCATCTCTGAATAAAGTGTTCAATAAATAACTTTAGAGAGAGAATTCTCTACTACGTCGTTGTTCAATATTTTGATAATATGATTTATATTAATTTTTATACGCATTTAATTTAATTGAACGTAATTTAATTTTTATCCCTGCTTATTCGATATACACATGTCTATGAAAGTGCTCGATAAATAGCTTTAGATGGGAAGAGAGAGAACGAGTTCTATACATCATTGTTTAATATTATAATAATACGTAAATTTGTATACGCATTTAATTTAACGTAATTTAATTTTTATCCCTTATTCAATCCGCGTCTCTGTGAAAGTGCTCAATAAATAACTTTAGAAAGAGTTCTCTACGTCGTTCAATATTTTGACAATATAATTTCTGCAAATTTATATACGCATTTAATTTAACGTAATTTAATTTTTATCCCTTATTCAATCCGCGTCTCTGTGAAAGTGCTCAATAAATAACTTTAGAAAGAGTTCTCTACGTCGTTCAATATTTTGACAATATAATTTATGCAAATTTATATACGCATTTAATTTAACGTAATTTAATTTTTATCCCTTATTCAATCCGCGTCTCTGTGAAAGTGCTCAATAAATAACTTTAGAAAGAGTTCTCTACGTCGTTCAATATTTTGACAATATAATTTATGCACATTTGTATACGCATTTAATTTAACGTAATTTAATTTTTATCCCTTATTTAATCCGCGTCTCTGTGAAAGTGCTCAATAAATAACTTTAGAAAGAGTTCTCTACGTTGTTCAATATTTTGACAATATAATTTCTGCAAATTTATATACGCATTTAATTTAACGTAATTTAATTTTTATCCCTTATTCAATCCGCGTCTCTGTGAAAGTGCTCAATAAATAACTTTAGAAAGAGTTCTCTACGTCGTTCAATATTTTGACAATATAATTTCTGCAAATTTATATACGCATTTAATTTAACGTAATTTAATTTTTATCCCTCACGATATTTATCCCTCGATAAATAACTTGGACAATGAAATTCGTGTATTCGCGGAAGAACACACTATCGCCATAGCGGCGCGACGCTAATCTTGATCACGGCTACGAATAGTCAAGAGCTAACGGCGACGCGGGATCCATTTCGCAGGACAAATAAGCGAAGTTGCCGGGGCACAAGCCGGCCTGTGCACACGACGCAGCCGAGAGCTTATTGGTATGCATGAGACAAGCACGTCGGGTCATAGCGCCCCTTTAATACACCCCTGGCCCTTTTGCCCTCGTCTGTTCTCTCTCTCTCTCTCTCCCTCTTTCTCTTTCCGACCGGAGAGCACAGACATGGCGGACGCGATCACCCTTTTACTCTCTCCACGACCCAAGGTGTACTTTGTCACCTCGCCGGTAACTTCGCCAGCTACTTGCCGGGATCGCTATTATCGCCCTTAACCGCGACATCGGGTGGAAGATGGAGCGTTGGCGCGCGGAATCACGTCTGTCCTTGCTCGGGATTCCCATCCGAAGCCGGGGAACCGAATTGGAATGCAGATTGAAGCGTGAGGGAGCGTTATATACGATCTGGGAGAGACGGCAATTGTCACGCGCCCCTTAACTGCATCGAATATTTAATTACTCTATCTATGTGGAAACGCCGGGACGAGAGATTGACCGCGACGGAGGACCTGGCTTTTCGAGGCTGAGAAACACATTCATCTTCCATTTCCTTTTTCTTCTTAACGATGAAACGATGAGAAGGGAGCGCGATAATGATGCAATGGGAAGAAATGAATATAAACGTGAAATTTCCGAACCTTTAAAGTGGACCTAACGTTCCTCGCATCGATCTAGATGGATATAAAAATGGAGATGATCGTGAGAAAAGAGATTCAGGTGGGTTTTGACAGGCGACCCGAGACTCGTTTCATTATATTGTATCTGGCACTGCATCGAATCGACCGGGGTAGGCGACCGACATTAAGAGACCCTCCTTCTCCGACTTTTTTTTTTACGAGTATTGGTCTTATAACCGTAAAGAGGAATAGAGAAAGAGAAGGAGAGACGTCTCTCATCTCTCGCAGGTGGCTCGTCCTGAGGATGATCTTGACGCGAAATTGCGGGACTGTTGTTTGCGCGTCCCACTTTTTTACGGGTCGCCTCCAAGAAAGTACGTCTCGATCGAGGGCTCGATCGGGGTTAATCGAAACCCTATCGTTCTGCTCGAACGCACGCTCCCTTCGC